CCCTCCTCCTAGAAAAAGACTACAGCTCGGATATAGAGCCATACATCTTAGTCGACACGAACTCATGGATCTTCGTCTTAAGCATGCTCAAGTAATGGGATATCTGAACCTGCTCCGAAGTAGCATACTCGGGGAAGAAAATGGCTCTCTTAGTAAACATCTTAGTAATCTTTATCACCGACTCTGCCATATGCTTTAGCGACATATACTCCTGGGTTAACCTCTACCTCTTAACCAAGGGAACATACTCATCACATAACACATCAAAAAAGTGCTCCCAATTCACTGCGGTTTTCTCTGTAGGACCGTTGACTAACTTCCACCAGTACTTTTCCCCTAGACGAAAAAGGTTCAAGGCAAACTTGAATTTATGTTCCTCTGGGCACGAGCAAGTAAAGAAACATACTACACATTAGATATCCACCTCATGGTCACGATCGATTCCTTAACTCGTCGAACACCAGGGGATTCATATTTCCAAAGTCTCGATACTGCATCATCCCTCTCCCCTAGAGTCCCATAACGACAACAATTATAGTGGTTGCACCAACAACAACCTCTGAGACGACAACATAACGCTCATCAGACATCTTAATCATGGCGGTCTAGATAGACCCAAATACCTCCAGGATCACCTCCCTAACAACCATTATCACCTGAGTGGTGATAATCTCATGAATCTCATCATCATATAATCATGGCCTCTTCGGACCGCCATATTGAAAACAAACTGAAATACATCAGAAAAGCCACAATTCATACTATTATATAATTACAGGATTACTAAATTCTCGGGGTTCATGACTTCCTTGATACACGTACGAGTCATGTGCTTCCAGTAGTACGGGCCCATACTACCTTCCACACCTACCCGTATTTTCCTCAAAAGATCATCACGGACCGCCTGACTACAAAGTCCAATAACTAGGATATACATGCATCCTATACTTACTCTCTCGAGAGTGGCTAATCATTCCATATGTCGACTTTCTCCAAACCACACTCACTCATAAAACTTCCACTAACCCTGCAGCCCCTCATGTACGCTAATCATACATAACTTTGGATTCGATAAACAGTCGAATAATTGATTCTACCTAACCCCACAACCAGATAAGGAACAAGTAATAATGCTAAATCAAACATTCCCAGACTATAAAATCTTAGTTATGTACAACTATGATACACACACTAAGCAACTATAATAATAATTTTGGTTTCATATAGCATATCGAGAAATTCACCTAGGCTATCAGGCATCATAAATCTTGCAGTTTTATCATGCAATTCCTGAAGATCCCTAGCATACAAAAACTAGCATGTAGTTCTATCATATCGTCAATACACAGAATTATTGAAATAGGTGTCTAATCCTATAACTATAATTGGTATAAACTTGAATTGATAGTAGCACAAACCTTTGGGGTTGCCTTCAAACCTTACAATTAAATAGGATGATTGTTAGAGAGAGAAGAATGATTTAATAATTGGTTAATAAATTAATTAGAAATCAAAATAAATGACTTCTTAATGTATTATGGATATAATATATTTATTAGAAATCAAATTATTTACTTAATATTTGATAAGAAATTAATTTGGAATTAATTTTGGGATTAAATGAATTAATGAAAACGGCAGGGACTAAAGGTAACAATATTTAATAGTTGAGCATTGAGAAATTCTAGAACCTCCCTAAAGAGGGGGAATGAAATCTAGAGCACTCTAGGGTTTCCTTGGGCTCTAAGGGCGCCTTGGATGCCTTAGGGAGGAAGTTAAGGGATTAGGGTTATCTTGGAGATACCTGCCTTATCCAATACCTTATTAACACCTATATAAAGCCTCCTTAAGGTTAAATTTCCGCAATAACTCCTCTAAGAGCCTAAGGGCCAAAATTTCTCTTCCTTCACGACATTTGTAATGCTTGCTACCAAAGGTCTTTCAAGCAAGGATTCAACGTTGTTTACAATAACAATCTTAAAGGTATGAATCATAACCCTTCTAATGTGATTTTTGATTATTATCCATAGATCTAGGGTTTATACTTTGTTGTTCATTATTGTATGTTTGATTAGAGAAAACGTACATCTTCAATTAGGGTTGCATGCACACATAAGATTGTATGTTTTGCTTAAAACCCATCAAAAACAAGTGTGGGTATCTTGGGAACTACTTTCATTGACATCGACTAATTGTACACATCACATCCTCTTCGTTGATCATTTTAGGATTAATTTTGAAAATTATTTTGTAGATCCTTAATTTGAGTATGGAATTACACAAGTATGCATCCAATTATCTCAAACTAGGGTGCTGATACCAAGTTGTGACATCCCAAAAATCATGATAAAAAATTTCATTTTTCAAAGACGATTTTCATAAACCACAAGTCATATAAAACATTGTTTCTAAACATAGTCATAAAAATTAGAGTATCCAATAACATCTCTCAATCATAAATCACACGAATGATGTGTGCAATCATTCCTTCACCTTGACCCGATCATCTAGTATACCTGAAACCACAAAACCAATATGTAAGCAAAATCTTAGTTAGTTCCCCAAAATATCCCACACAACAAAACATATACAAGCATGCATACTGGCTCCACAATCATCAGACTGGATTACCCTCTGGTCCACAGTCATCGGACATGATTACCCCCGACCCACAATCATCAAACTAGATTGCCCTGACTCACAGTCATGGGATTGGATTGCCCAGGGTTTGTTGTCTTACAACACAAATCAGTAAAGCCTCAACCCAACCACACTAGGTCGACATATGCAACAGATAACAATAACCAACAAGTACATGTAATCATATGAATCTACCAATCTAACATATCACTACATCATAACAGCATCCTATATACAAGGATTCATAATACAACCTAGTGGGCCAACATTTATGCCTTCGTCCCACGAGTACGTTGAGGAAAACTCATCTCAAAGTCTAGAAGATAGCTGAAATAAAAATTGATTCAAATACCGACTCTATAGGTCACACATACAACAAACATGGACCAAGCCTCAATCTACAACTTGATTTACTCCATTTGACCTAAAGTCAAACTTGGTTAAAGTCAACGGTCAATGGTCAAAAAGTCAACATCCAACCAGATTATGCCATGCGTAACAGCTCTACGCCTTGCGTAGAGCCTAAGGTAGAAAAATAGGGAAAAATGGAGCTATACCCCGCGTAAGGAAATTTACTCCCCACATACTCCCCGAAATCCTAACTTAATCATTAAGTTCTTGATACAAAAGGTTTAACCACCAAACTTCCAATAGGAACTATATGGACGTCTTAATGGATAAAGTCTCTGACTTTCCATTTTCATGCATACCGAGGATACAAAATCATAGCCTAAGTTCAAAAAGTCACCCAATGCTCCATAACTCATGCATGGTTGAACGAGAGTGACCAAGCTCTTAGTTTTTATGACTTATCAAACTTAAAAACGTCTAGAAATGACACTCCAATGGTCTGGAGTAGCTCATAATCATATACACCATGGATATGGGGACAAAAATCATGAAAAACCTAAAGCAAAACTAGATCTAGCACAAGAACACATCAAGGTGGGAACTATATACCTCTTGGAGATGGTTGAGGAAATGAAACTTCTGGATCCATGACTGATTTGAGCTTCTAAGAAATTCCACCACCTTCTTCTTCCTTTAAAAGTGAACACCAGACACTCTCAAAGCTCAAAAATACACCAATGGGGATTACGGTTTCAAAGGGGCTATTTACGAGGATGGAGGCTGATGATGGAAGGGCCTTAAGGGGGTTAGAGCCTTTACATAGGGCTCAAATCCCCAAGATTAGGGTTTTGGTCCTAGGCCGCTACACAATGCGTAGCTTGATCTACGCCCTGTGTAGATCATTTAATCTCCGATAATTGATTCCTCTTGCGCGCTACGTAGGAGAATACCCTACGCCCCGCATTGGAACAAACTTCACAAATTCAAAGGTTTTTTTTAAATAAAATGAAATATACTTGAAATAACTGAGTGTTACAATGTCACAATGGTGTGATAACTCCATTCGAAGGAAATGGTCAACATGTTATACCCTCTATTTTTCTTGTCATCATTTCATTTCATTTTTTGTTTTTTAAATAATTATAAAAACAAATATAAATTAATAAAACATGCTATTTTAATAAATCCTAAATTAAACGTAACATTAAAAAAATTACAATAAATGACAAAAACATTTGAAACTAAAAAAAAAACATTTTAAAACACCAAAACAATACATTTTCTCTTAAATTTCATTATTATTCATCTTTGTGACCATCATACATATAATTTGCTAAGTCTTAACGAAATTGTCTGTGTTTTCGTACATCTTGAATATCTACCATTCTATGTAAATATTTCGCAGTCTTCGGTTGAAATCGTACGTCCTGTGGGTAGTTGAGCTGGATCCGGTTATATTAACACGTCTGTAAAATACCGGTACATCCTATCGATGAAGATATCGTCGTCGCCATTATCATTTTTGAAAATGAATCAAACGGATCCATTTTTTTGTTTTGGATTATTGAAATGAAAAAAAAAAAAAAAAATAGAGTGGTGATTAAAATCAGGTGTTATATATGTATTTATAGGTAAACGATTTTTTTTTTATTTGAAAGTTACGATTTTTAAATGGTCCAATTCATCCAGACGTTCGTATTTATTCCGTTGCCACTCCTTACCGTGACCACGGAAGACCCCATAACGGGCCAACAAAATGGCTTCGGCCGTTGCACGTGGCCCCGTGCAGCCTAAGTAAAAGATTCGGTGATAAGTATTTGAGGTTTTCTTCCAGACATCCTTTGCCAACTTTTACCAAATACGCTTTTCACCCTCCATAAATTAACATACAATCAAGTTCAGACAACGAAGGCTGATGGTGACCCAATTGTCATTTACAAGGCTTTTTGTCTTTTAAAAAACAAATTGCTTATTATATCTCATATGAACACTGTAAATTAAGATCATCAATGGATTCCGCAAGGAGAACCCCAAAACTCTATTCCATGAAGCTACGAAATACTTCACCTACGCCTCCACGTTGGCACTACGACGTCTTTTTGAGCTTCAGAGGCGAAGATACCCGCAAAACCTTCAGTGGCGATCTCTACAAGGCTCTGATTGAAGCCGGAATCCACACATTTAAAGACGACGATGAGCTGCCTAGAGGTAATGATATTCCGTCGGGATTGATAAAAGCAATCAAGGAATCAAGGACATCGATCGTGGTTTTCTCGAAGGAGTATGCATCGTCGAAATGGTGCCTTGATGAATTGCTGGAGATTTTGGATTCTAAAAGAACCGTCGATCAGTTGGTTTTTCCGGTGTTTTATGATGTCCATCGGGATGATGTTCGCCGGCAAACTGGAAGCTTTGAATCGGCTTTTGTAAGACATGAAGAGCGATTTGATCGGATTAAGGTGGAAGAGTGGCGACGTGCGATGACGGAGGCGGCAAGTTTAGATGGTTGGGAGTTTAATTACGACGCAAGCAGGTATACATTTTCTTAACGAGTAAATTATAAGTTTGGTCCCCGTCTTTTACAAAAAATCTCAAGTCCAGTCCAACTTTTAAAATTGTCTCAATGTAGTTCTTATATTTGCATTTCACTGCGATCATGGCCCTTGTCCCTTGACCGGCAATCATTTAAAAAATATATATTCTACCATTTGATATGCTTTTATAACTTCCCCTTATTTTACTTGTTTAATTGTTAGTCACAAAACATGATTTTTTAATAATTGATGATGTATTTAATAGGCGTGAATCAGAATTTGTTCAAAGAATTGTAATGAACGTGCTACATAAGATAAAACGAAAATTGTTTGTAGCCAAGCATCCGGTTGGATTGGATTCTCTTATTGAAGAGCTAAAATCATTACTCAAAAGATGGGTAGACAATAGTTGTGTACTTGGGGTGTATGGTATTAGCGGTGTTGGAAAAACAACTCTCGTTAAAGAATTTTATAATACGATCACCCATCAATATGAAGGTAGTTGTTTTCTTGCACGTGTTGGAGATAAATTAAAACAACCTAATGGACTTGTTCGTTTACAAGATGAACTCTTGTATGAGCTACAAGGAAAGAGTTATGTGAATTGTGATATCGACAAGGGAATTAATCTAATAAAAGTCAAACTAGGATTTACCAAAGTCCTTATAGTTCTTGATGGCATTGACGAGTTAAGTCAAATGAATTCCTTAATCGTTCAATCTTCATGGTTAGGTAGGGGAAGTATGATTGTCGTTACGAGTAGAAGTGGATATATTTTGGATCAAGCACAAGTTGACATAAGATATGAGGTCAAGGAGTTAGATTTCAAAGAATCGTTTATGCTTTTCTCTCAGTATGCTTTCCAAAGTTCAACTCCATTGCAGTCTCATAAGGATATTTCGAAAGAAATTGTGAATTGTAGCGCACGAACTCCCCTGCATATTGAGGTTATTGGTTCTTTGTTAGTCGGAAAATCAGTGAATGAATGGAAAAGTATGCTTGAGAAATTAAAAAAACAAGTAATGATCAAGAAAGTTGAAAAATATTAGAACGCTAATTGTTTTTAAATTCTTTTTAATGAGTTTAATGTGTTAGCCTATATATTATTAGCCCACTTGTTTATAGGCCATTTAGTCTTTAGCCCATTAGGGTTTTTTGTCTAACTAGTATTTATATGCCGCTTTATTCTTTGTAGTCTTTATGTTTTCCATTGAGAACTCTTGTAATTTCTCTTTATTATAATCATATGACAATGCTATCATGGTATCAAAGTGTAGGTTTGATACGTTATTAGAATTCCTTGTAGCAGTCATCTGAGGCGCAGATTCGTTGTTGATATGTTGATTCATTGTTGCCGTTGATTCATTGTTGTTGTTGGTTCGTTGTCTGATTGGTTGCTTCTACTGGTTTGTCACTCCTTTCATTCTTAGATTGCTATACTACTACTGTGATTATTTATTCATTGTCAACATGACTGGAAATGATGATTCTCTTCAGTCAATCAGTACTCGTCTAGATGGAAAGAATTATATGTATTGGAGTTACGTTATGAAGAACTTCATTTGTAGGAAGAATATGTGGGGTTATGCTACTGGGACTAAAGCCAAACCCCCAGTGCCTCAAATGGAGAATTTTGATTTGTTGCTTGATGTTTGGGAGACTGATAAATCCAAGGTCATTACTTGGATTAATAACTCTGTTACTCAATCCATTGGTATGAAAATATGACACAACAAAGGAAGTTTAAAATCACTTGGAGAGACTGTATACTTAGTCCAACTTTGCTAAACAATACTAGTTAGAATATGATACTTGTGCCCTTAAACAAAATGAACAGGGTATTCAATATTTTTATGCTGCTATGTATGATCTGTGAGATCAATTGGCTCTTACTGAATCTAAAGAGTTAAAATATTTTGAGCCTTACATTGCGAGGAAGGAAGAACAACGCTTGGTCGAGTTCTTGATGGCCTTGCGTTCTGATTTTGAAGGTCTGCGTGGAAAAATTCTTCATCGCTCTCCTCTTCCCTCAGTTAAAGTTGTTGTCCATGAGTTAATTGAAGAAGAGACTCGTATCAAGTCTCATGCGGATAAAGGGTTTAAAGCAACCTCTATTTCTACTCCCGCTCCTATTGTGCTTGTTGTTTCCTCTAATTAGTCTCGAAATACTTCAAGGGTTGCTTATGATGAGTGTGCATTCTGAAAATAGAAAAATCATTGGAAAGCTCAGTGTCCATTATTAGTCAATAAGGGTAAATCTGGTCAACCTCAATCGGGACAACAAAATAGGTATGGTCAACAAAAGTTTCAGCCACGTTCCTCTGGTACTCCTCCATGGATCCCTCGTCCTCCATAGTTTGTTGTTGTTGCTATACCACCAGCGGATACAGATTATGTTGGAAATATGTCACCATCTGCATTGGATCCTAAGGTGTTTGAGAGTTTCTGTCACACCGTAAATTTCAAAACAAATTTTCATTTAAAATAATCGTTTAATTCTTATAACACTTTTTGTAGAAATCTCATTTCTGTTTAATTTACAAAACATAACTCTATATTCAATTGCATAATAAACCAGGATCCTCAAAACATAACTCTTCCTCTGGTGTGTACAATCGAGCCGGTGCCGTCTCGTGATCCTGAGAAAAACCTGAAACACATAACACATAACACGGTAAGCACGAAGCTTAGTGAGTTCCCTAAAATACCACATATAACACATATTAGCCACTCAAGGCTATAACTCTTGTGGGCCCTTGAGCCCTAACTCTGTGGACCCTCTGATCCTAACTCTGTGAACCTTCCGGTTCTAACTCTATGGACCTTCCAATCCTAACTCTGTCAAGCTCTGGAATACACACAACATAAATCACATAGAAATCATGCAGTGCAACACATCACATACATAGCATACGAGATACTCTATCATATCACTCTAATTACCACTCATGGTAAGGTATAGTGAGAAGACTCACCTCGTATACTCGGTAAACCTTGTATTCTGAAATACAGCGCTAGCCTCTGCCTAATCACATAAATAATTTCTCTAATTAATACAACTTCTAAAGGCTAGGCTAATCCTCCTCTATAAGTCCTCTAAGAAGGGTAAAAGACCATTCTACCCCTCTAATGGCTCATAAGACCAAATCATTGACCGAACCATAAAAGTCAACAAAGTCAACTCTAGTCAACGGTCAAACTTTGACCAAACTCGTCGAGTGCGCACGAGTGACTCGGCGAGTCCACGCTGGTCCTCTGAATGCCCTTTGAACCTCTCAGGCATGACGAGTTCCCTATCTGCTCATTGAGTTACTCAACAACAAATCGCGGGGCAACCTCGACTCGACTCGTCGAGTCTGCCTATGGATTCGGTGAGTAGCTCCCATGATAACAATCATTTGAGCTTCTGAGGTCAGATCCGTTCCTCTAATCCATAGATCTGACTTCCCTATGACCAATAACCACGTAAAGGTCGAATCTTGGTACACATGCAAGGCTTTCTATGCTTATTTTGGTGAAATCCTTCATATCATGACAACCCTAGCTCATAACTCCAAGGAAAAGGCATAAACCAGAATGGAAGGGACTCTTTGGACCTCTTAAGGTCCAAATCTAGGAATCATTTCACCATGGGACCTCTCATACTCTAGATTCAAGCTAAATAAAGCATGAAGAAACCCTAGATTCATGAAATCTACTAAACAAACGAAGATAGACATGAATCCTTACCTCTCACAGTAGCTCTGAACGCAATGATGGAAGATTTGAGTCTCATAAGACATCTCAACTTGAATTCCTTCCTTCCCTTTGCTAAGATACTCCAAAGGATGATGAATTAGCCCTCATCTTGCACTACAAGCTTCCTCTCTGCTCTCTATGGGTTTTCTGAGGGTGTAGTGGCCGCAAATGAAGGCCATAAGGACCTTCAAATAGGTCCCAAACCCGAGAAATTAGGGTTTCTCTGCCCAGCACCTACTCGACGAGTCCCTCCTTTGACTCGTCGAGTCCATTCATTAAATCCGCACGAGAAACCCGGCTCGACTCGGCGAGTTGGATCCTCAACTCGTCGAGTCTCTCCTTTAATCAAAAGATTAACCTACACAATAATAACCCTGAAAATCCGGATGTTACAGTTTCAGACAATATTTTGCCTCTAATCCTACTACTATGTCTGCATCTATGTCTCACTCTGGTCCTACTTCATCTGGTACATCAGATATTCCCTAATCTTTGTGGATTTTAGATTCTGGTGCAACCCATCATATGACTCCTCATTTGTCATCATTTATTTCTTTGTCGCAAGTGTCATCTATTTATGTTAAGTCTGCTAGTGATACATCTATGCTAGTTAAGGGTGTTGGGTCTGTCTCTATTTCTCATATCACTCTCCTTGATGTTTATTACATTCCTAAACTCACTTTGAATCTTGCCTCAGTCATTCAGTTATGTAAGTCTGGTAACTGGGTGTTCTTTTATGATTATGTCTGTGTTATACAGGATCAACACACCCAGAATGTGATTAGGACCTGCCATAGGGTGGGGGAACTATATGTCTTGGAGGTTCTCAAAGTATCTGTTGTTGATGCCTCCAACATTGATTTATCTTCTTTCCATTTGAGACCTTTGGCATTCTCGTTTGGGACATATGTCTATATCACGTTTGAGTTTTTTAGCATCTGGTGGTGTTTTGGGTCATTTAGACACTTGTAATATTCCTGATTGTAGTGGTTGTAAACTGGCAAAATTCTCTGCTCTACCTTTCAATAAATGTATTTCTTGTTCTACTGCTCCTTTTGACATTATTCATTCTGATGTATGGGGTCCTGCACCAGTATCCAGAAAGGGTGGGTCAACCTATTATGTATCTTTTATAGATGATTATACTCGATATACATGGGTTTATTTTATGAAACGCAGATCTGATTTCTTTGATATTTACAGTAATTTTAGAGCTCTTGTTAAAACTCAACATTCGGCTGTGATTAAGTGCTTCAGGTGTGACTTAGGGGTGAATATACATCTAATGATTTTACTCAGTTACTCGCTTATGATGGTACTATACACCAGTCCTCGTGTATTGATACACCTTGGCAAAATGGTGTGGCAGAACGAAAACATTGTCATATTGTTGAGACTGCCCGCTCATTGCTCTTGTCTGTGCAGGTCCCTAGTGCCTTTTAGGGAGAAGTAGTGTCACAACTGGCAATTTAGCTAGGAAATTTTATACTCATGTAAACATTAACTATGATAATCCTTGTAACCCTAACTCGATAATATGTATGATGCTCATTCAATGACAATGAATTCCATCAAGATTCATTAGTGAAGTTCAAAACTCTATACAAAGTACTTCAAATAGTCAATTATGAGTTGAAAACCCTAAAAATCCCGGTTCAAGTTTATTATAGACTAGGATTTTCTTATTGGGCCTAATGGGCCAATAAGCCTTCAATTCGACTATTTTGGGCCTAGAATTCTTAATTGAGTTCTAAATGGACCCACATTCATAAAACTTAACATATTGGGCCATGTGGACCTAAAATGGTTCATGTTAACCCTAATGGGCCAAGTTGGGCCATAAAAACTCCAATAGCCCTAATGGGCCATAAACCCCATTTCTTTGGTTCTAATGGGCCGTGAACCACCTAATGGACTTTCATTGGGCCGTAAACCATCCTAACGGCCCAATGGGCCGAAAAATATTATTAGGCCTATGAAATTCAATGAAAGCCAATGATTTGAGCCCAAAGCTATTTCACCTTCATTCATTGGGCCTATTCTCGGCCCAATGTGTTTATATATACAAAAAAAGAGAATGAAAATAAGGGGACTAATGAGAATGAGACACATCATTATTGCATGGAGGATCTCCATGCAACATCACTTCACTCTCTTACTCACTCACTCTCACTCTCTCTCTCTCTCTCTCTCTCTCTTCTCTCATCTTCTTTTCGGCCGAACCACTCTTCTCACCACCTCATTTCTTTCAAAAATCTCTTAAGAAACTCTCTTTAGAAAACCTCCTTCCTTCTCCAAATTTTCAAAGATT